AAGTCAAAGTTGGATGGTGGTTTGTAAAAAAAAAAAAATAGTTTATATGGTTAGTTGAAAATTTCATAAAAGTTCGGATGGCAAAGAGTTAATTTCCCTTTGTATTTGTATTTAAAAATTTAAATAGAGAACAATCTGTTTGATATTTGATGAATTTATTTGAACTTTTCTGCAGGTGATGAATTTCTTATTGAAAGTAAAACATGCAAAATTTGTGCTTGATAAGGTTCGGAAGATGATGTGGAAGGTAGACGAAAACAATATATGTTCGACTTTTTTTATTACGTGCTTGCATAGTCAGTTTGTACTGTATTTTGTTACGAATGACATTTTTAATTCAGAAGCTGATTAATTTTGTGAAAAAAAAGTTTGCATTCGCGATGCCAACTTTTATTTTTTCTCCTAATTGCTTTTTTGGATATTTGATGCTGTCACATTATGTGTTACAGGATAGAGGCATTGCAACAATAGAACAAAAGCATCACTGGTTACTAGAGCAAAAATTGCTTCATTTCGTGGATGCCTTTCATCAATATGTCATGGACAGGGTATGTGGATTGTGATTCTTCAACTTTTACATCACTGCATAACTAAAATCTTTTATTAAGACAAATATTTCAAGTTAATACATCAATATGAAATCGTATGGCGAGAACAGGTATACCACAATGCATGGCGTGAGCTTTGCGAGGGTGTGACATCAGCTGGCACTCTAGATGAAGTCATCGATGCACATGAGACCTACTTGCTATCAATCCAGAGACAGTGTTTTGTCGTGCCAGACAAGCTGGTCCATTATTCCACATTCTTTGCCTCTCTCTCTCTCTTTCTCTCTTTTTCTTTTCTTTTTTTTTTTAATATTTGTTTTCTTATTAAATGCAAACTTTTTGGGACAAGTATAAAAGTTGTGACCACTTGGTGACTTTTTTTTTATGATTGTTTTTCAGTGGGGATTGATTGCTAGTCGTATAAACAGTATCCTTGGCCTGGCCCTCGATTTCTACTCCGTACAACAGACACTAAGTAGCGGTGGATCAATTTCTGCAATCAAAGCAAGATGCGTGAAGGAAATGGAGAGGATAGAGAGACAGTTTGATGACTGCATGGCCTTTCTTCTCAGGGTACCCCCTCTCTCTCTCTCTCTCTTGCGTCAAGATTCTGCATTAGCCAATTTCCCATCTTGATTTGTTTCTACTTTCTAGCATGTGCTAAATCCTATTTTCTTTCATCATTTTATAGGACCTTGTTTTCAAATTTGGTCTCCAGATTTTAAAATTAACCTACGTTTATGTATTATTTCTTAAAAAGATGTATATTTTGTTTCGAAATGACATACTTTAAAAATACATATATGTTATAAAACTAGAGAGAAAGAGAGAGAATAGAGAAAATGTATTCTCTTAGGTACGATTTTCATTATAACTGAAGGTCCTATTTATAGGAAACTTCTGATGGCACAACTCGTAATAATACAAATACATCGAGGGCAAAATAGTCATTCACATACATTATTTTATAATTTCATAACACTCCTCCTTGAATGACTATTTTCTAAACATATTTTAATTGATTTGAACAAAGCCCAATCTGCACATCTTCAAGTGTATCTTGTGGCCATCAGGTACCGTTGCTTCAGCACGTCAGGAAAACCCGGTAGGACAAAACCTGATCATCTTGAAATCATAACATTGTTTCTTCAGGAAAACCCAGTGGGACAAAACCTGAGCATTGTGGAAGCACAACATAGCTCCCCCTCAAATAGATCATCTTTAGTGGAATATCCATGCGCTGCCTCGTTAAAACCTTGTCAAGAAAACCCAGTGGGAAAAAACTTGATCGAAGGAAAAAGAGTACAGCTACTCCAGTATCTCTTATCATCGTGAAGAATCATATCATTTATCCAGTAGTCCTCATCATACCATGAATATGCCTCGTTAAAACCTTATTAGGAAAAACCCAGTGGGACAAAATCCTATTGAAGGAAAAAGAGTACACTATTCATATGAATACGTCATCCTTGTTGCCTCATTAAAAACCTTGCTAGGAAAAACCCAATGGGACAAAACCTCAGCCAAGGGAAAAAGAGTACAACGCGTATTTCATATATTCACCATAATAATCTTTCCATAATTTGTATGAGTATCATATAAATTCGTTCAGATTTTCAGATACTGATGGTATTCATGACAATATGTTATATCATGCTTTGTGCAACGTTTATTCTTAAACTCATTCTCATCATCAATTGATTTCAATGGTGTTACTGCCAATAGTTCCCAATATTCACATTTCAGCTGATTTCATTCTCGTCAATATCATTTATATAGCGCTATTCATTTGGTTGTGTCGACACTTATTCATTTCCATTATTCCCCGTAATATTGAGATATCTCATTATCAATTGATTTCATCAATGATATATATATATATATGCCTTATTTCATCACTTACTTGGGGGATTTTAATTTGCACAATACCGACGCTTCCAGCGTATTATTCCATTATCATATCATTTCATATATTTCACCATCATCAGTATCATATAGTTTATGATTTGCACACTTTCAGTGTGATGCATATATTAATTCCAAATTTCAATCATTGATTCTCCCCCTCATCTTAACAGATCCCTGATCTGTATTTTCAGTAGGGAGTTCATTTAGTCTCCAATTTGTTCTCGATTTCAACATATATTTGGAAGATTTTGAACTCATATCATTTGTAATGTGCACATTTTTCTTTCAAGAGTTCATCATATCAGGTGAGTATATTACTAGCTTCATCACTTTCATATGACACTTATTTTCATTCTTTCATAATCATCTTGTGTCATCCTTAGATCAAACCATCTCGTAAATTCAGGTTACATGTCATATACACATTCTTTGATCAAATCATCTCGTAACTTCAGGTTACGAATCACACACATGTGGCTATCTAGTGGATCCATAATATCTAGTAGCACACATGGAGGGGTAGTGGGCCCATATATATCGTACCCCTTTCATACTCAGACTGATCATATATCGATTCACAAATATTTAGCTAGTAATATTTTTCACCAATCGGGAACAAGCATCTCATATCACAAAGAATAAGTTCATCATGCAAACCATTAACAATAATATCGGTAAACATTTTTAAAGTGATCACAATAATTCGTTGTGACATGTTTATCACAAACATTTCACATCATCTTTCGGCGGCAATAAATGCACTTTAAGTGTAGGCTCTGGTACAATATCTTTTAACCACTGTTTAAATCAAGAATCGTATCATGCTGTCTGACACACATACTTTTGAACACTGTTTAAGTCCAGAGTCGTATCTCATACGCATCATATTTTTCTATAAATTATCAGGTAATTCATTCAATTTTCTTTAACAAAGGTCCGAATTTACAAATGGATTTAGCACTCTCAAATATCCGTAAATATTATTCTTTTCTTCCAAAAAGTATCATAAAAAGGATTTATCGATCTCGATTAGAAAGATTGAGGATGCTAATGAATAATGGTATTCCAAATGATGTTAGATGGTTGATCGAAGCACAAGTTCGATTGTCTGGAGAGTTTCCAAATTCATATAAATATATGCCAGGTATGGGTAAAAGTACTTATGCAAAGAAACGAAGAGCAAAAAGGTTAGGTGGATGCTTCAAATGCGCTCGATGGACTTGTGACACACGATGTATATCTGTGGGGTACGTGTCCAAAAATCGAGAAGATAAAATAACGTTTATAAAGGATGGATTGAATAAGGAGTCTTTGGATCAAACGATTCAACAGATTCTTGAGACACATCCTAGTGGATACGTGCATCGTGAGCTTATGTCTTTATGGATTCAGTTCAAAAATGAAGAAGAACGTTATAGTCTCGAAAATATTATTTCGAAAGATCAAGTTTGTAAAACTGGTCTTGTTAGTATGAAAAATCATACTAATACAGTTTAGTATGTTGTACTGTAATTTTCTAGAAAAACTTATGGTTGCCGACAGATAAGATTTATTTAAAATCCAACACCTTATCTATCAGTTGCAATTGTCAGAAGAAAACAGTAAAATTATTTATTGCTTTGTAAAGCTTTCTATTTAAATAGCGAGTCGTTCATCATAATCATATGCCTCACAAAGTTTTGAAAAATTCAGTTTATCAATAAATAGATGGACGTTTCAGAGTCTTCGCAAGGTAATAATTTTCTTCAACTGATCAAAACCATATGTGTTCTTGGTGGTTCTAAACTGGTAAGTTTTTCTCAAACTATTGATATTGTAAGTCAGTTAGTCAAAGAGATGGGGAATCAGAAAATCAATTTGCTGTATGGAGGGACTAGCAATACTTTCTATGATAGTCTCTTAATGGTTGGACAATGTTTTGAGATAGAAGTGAAAAGTATCATACCTTTTCGTAGAGCTTCAACAAAGGTCGTCAAGGATTCCACAAGCATGATGTTAACTCATTCCATTCATGATTGTATGATGGATATGGTGAACAATAGCGATGCTTTTATCATTCTTCCAGGCGGGTATGGAACGCTAATGACAATGTTCACCATTGCTTTATGGGCAGAATTGAAACTTCATAACAAGCCCATAGGTCTATTGAACTTTAATAACTTCTTTCATGGTTTGCTTGGATTTTTAGACATAGGAGTATATCAAACCTTTATATCTCCTTCGATGAGAGAAGTATTCAAATCTGCTGACACGTCTGCTGAACTTATCAAAAAGCTTCAAGAATGCATCACATTTCAAGATTCTGTGGAAACACAAGGGGTCAAGCGAAAAAGAGCTTTTGATCCTTTAGATCTCTCATTATGAACCCATATATTATTCAAATATGAATCCAGATATCATTCATGGGTGGCAGAGTTACGAAGTTTTACACTCTCGAGACGCACCCTTCTTTTATGGGTTCTATTATGTAATCTTTGCGTATTTTGTATTCATCGAGTATTTACTGCCTCTTTTCCATATTTCCACCATCTGAACATTTTGTACTTGTTTCTCAGCAATAATAATATCAATTTCGATTTTTCTCAGTGTATAGTAGTTCATGACTACAATCATTATCATTTGTGCTTCTTCCGGAGCACTTTATTGTAATATCTGTATGATCTCGTATTTCAATATGATCTCGTTGTCTGATATAGCCCCTTAGACTCATATAATATATTGAGAAATCATTTTGTGTGATCATCCATAACTGGTAACTTTTGGTACCACTTTCTCATTCGTTTAATCATCCAATGATAGCTTCTGGTATCATTTCATCACCATAATGTGGTAGCTTATAGAACCTATATACCAAATATCATTTAATCATTATGTAGTAACTTTTGGTACTACTTCATCAATATTCGTTTCTACATCAATAAATTTGAAGAATTTATCAACTGTTTCTTCAGGATCAGGTTAGTCCATATAATGTCCGTTCTCGACAAGGACTTTAATTAACTTTCACATGGCCAGAGTATCATTAATTTCACTCATCGACTATCACTTATTAGTACTGCCTGTCGTCGGCGGCAGAGCCGCACTGGCCGGCCCATGTATAGCCATTCATTTGTTGCACGTAGCCTTGCCACCTGGCCATTCTATATCACCGGCTATCATTAATAAATACGCTTATCGTTTGGCCATCACCGGTCATCATTATTCAATACACTGACCGGTTCACTTAGTTGTTCAAATCTTATTTCGGTGGATACACTGCTCAGCCATTTCGCATGATTTTTCATATTTCAACAGTTGACCCGTCGGCTACCATTAAATATCACCTGCCGGCGGCAGAGCCGCACTGACCGGTCTATGTAGCCACACCTATTTATTTTCATATCACAAGGGTCAATCCACATATATCCACATGTTCCACGTACCAAATAATTTTCACAATATACTAATTCAAACATTTTATAATCATATAATAAACCATATCAATATTGGTCTTAAATCGAGGCTATCGTCAAATAGAGTAGTATGCATTTAATAAAAATATATTTTGATAATTCTTGCCTTTTATATTTGGCAAAACACCATTTTACAATTAAATCAATCAAGTAAATATTTTATCAATTTTTCTTTGTGGGTGCAATTGATCTCAACCGTTTTTGTTTTACATAAAATGACCACGAGATGAACAAATAGTGAAGGGGCCCTCATTTAATAATCATCCTAACACATTAAAGGAAGGTACTATTTGTCTTGTTGAAACATATTAAATGAGACTTGTCATTGCTCATAAATTTGGTGGCAATTGGATTTTAAGACAATGAATCATTTTGTAAACATGCCGACACCAATTTCTTCTTCGTGTTCAACATTTTCAATGTTCCTAGTTTCATGAATTCTTATTTATAAATTTCACATTCCTGCCGACAATCATTTTTCATACCTTCTATTATTATGTTTATCATACAAAATAAAAGTAGAATTCCAATTGTTACATACCTGCAAACCTTTTTTTTTTTTCTTCGGCATACCTTCCTTCATCTCCATATTTCAGGAGTTGTTATCATTGTTTCCAAAAACACACCAGTGCTTGTTGTTCCCGCTATTTCATCAAAATAATTTGCAATTCTTGCATCTGGACCATCCAATTCCTGGAGTTTAGCTCGTAGATAATTCATCTAATGCCATCTCGAATTTCTGATACAGAGGTTCGTCTATAAGACGCAACTGTAGAGCATACTCTTCTTATATTACAAATCGAGCTCTAGAGGGCAGAGACTCGTGCTGATAACGTGTTATAAAACTAGAGAGAAAGAGAGAGAATAGAGAAAATGTATTCTCTTAGGTACGATTTTCATTATAACTGAAGGTCCTATTTATAGGAAACTTCTGATGGCACAACTCGTAATAATACAAATACATCGAGGGCAAAATAGTCATTCACATACATTATTTTATAATTTCATAACAATATAAAAGTATTGACATATTATATTACGACTTTGTAAAGTATGACGGCTTGACTCGCCTGACATTTGGGTCGTCTCACTGTAAAGTTGATTATAATAACAAATTTTATAGTCCCTTCTCTTCTCTAAATTGAAGTTTCTCATTCCTTATTTTTAGCACAATCTATATTTGATAGCAAGACTTTATGTGTATAATAATTTAAATCATTATTTATGTAAGCAGTGTGTCTAAATTTATCTATTTGTGTCTATTTATTTATACTTCTCGAAAAACTACTAATGCTTTTACAGAAAAAAGAAAAAAAAAATAAAAATCTAAAAGTATCTTATGTTTATTTTAAGGTATAATTGTAATTACACTATGAGATGTCAGAAAAGAAAATACATATGAGCTACAAAGTAGGAATTTTAATCATCTCTCTTTAGATTTAGGTCTCGTGCTGCGTGTAGTTTCGTGCACGAGCTTTTGCCCGTATCCATGCTATATGCATAAATAGAACATTAACTGTAGAAAAACTATGAAATAGAACGACCAATCTCTAATATTTTACTGTTTACATGCAACCTAATGAATCTTTCTTATTTGATCTTCGCAAGAAAAGCGCACAATATTATCTCGCATATGAGAATAATATCATATCAAACCTTTCATGGTCAGCCTTTGGTTAGTAAACACCAGAATTGCTGCTGCAATGGTTGTCTAATAGAGATTTTATTATTCTCTATTTAATATGGAATTTTTATGCTTATTTATTGTTGTGACGGGCATTTCAGATTTTATCTGTGAAGCTCAATGTCGGACAGTTCCCTCACTTGGCAGCTCTAGTTACTCGTATAAACTACAACAACTTCTACATGTCTGATGGTGGGACTTGGGTAACTGGCCCTGCCACTTCCCGTCCACCTTAACTAACTGCTACCATAGTTTGAGCCGAGTAGTTTGATTTCTTTATTGTGCAAGTTTTTCTGTGTAGTGTTAGTATATATGTAATTTACTTGGTTCTCGTAAGGATCTAGAAATGGCGATTATTGCTTATTGCTTGTCAACTTTCAGATTTGATACGCTTTGTACATTTTTTTTAAAGAAAAAAAATTGTATACACTATTTAAGTGCTAAATTGGTTCGCATGGATCAAGTGTGTAAACATTGTCACTCCAAATGATTTGGTGTTTTGGTCCCTTGAATATACATCCAATTTTTATTTTTATTTTTTTTTTTAGTTTATTTGGGGATTTTGGGTGCAGCAGTAGTAATTTTTAAATCATTTCTTTTGTTCCTACTACGAAGTTTATCTGAAAAGTTCCTATAAGATATAACAACCAACAAGAATTTTTTCACTCTTGAATAATCTAGGAAGGTTGTATTGTAGCGATTATCAACTATCATCGGTACACTAATGAAGATCGTTTATCTCGATGCTCGATTTTGCTTCAAAGGATATGGAGACTCGCCTTCTTCTCGACGATAGATTAGTTCAAAGGATACGAAAACCGTCTCCTTTTCGGCGATAGGTTGTGGACGATTCGAATTTCCTTATCTTCTCACGTTTTTTAGACAGCTCGGATGTCTTTGCCAAATTCGAGTTTATGACGAACTGTGCGGTAAAATGATCTTTTCGACACAAGTATTTTGTGATAAAACTCTAAGAATTATAACACAAGCGATTTTTGTTCAAGAGGGACAATATTCTTATTTTTTCATTCATGAAAAATAATGATTAATACATAAACTTATTTATAGGAGAGAGATATTAGCCTATGGGAAATAAAATACAAATCCTACGAGGAATCAAATTCTAACTTGATAAAACAGGCTGTGGTAAGGGGATCCATTACCCCCTTGGTGGAAGGACCGACACAATTTAATTTTACAGGTTTTGGACTACAAAATGTACAATGCTTTGACACGGGAGCCCACTTGCAGCCTCTTGTCAAATTGGGTGAACAGTGGGAAGAAAACAAATTTGCTCAATATCAAATAACTCACTTTTTTTGGCTAAATATTTGACAAATAATTGAGCGCTAAACATTTTTCTATTTAAACATCACCCATATTCCTATCAACTCATTTAAATACATATAAATGGGACCAATTATCCACTCATTTAATAAAATTTATTTTATATCTTTCTTTTTATAAATATAATACTTCATCATGTTCATAATATGTGTCGTTTTAAAAAGTTACAAAATAATTAAGAATTTTTTTTTTTGCTTATAATAACTCTCTTTAATAAAATTAATAGCGTGAAAATTAAGAGTAGATATAAAAAAGCGTAGTGTATTCATTAGCTAAATGAGGGTAATAATAGAAAAATATGTAGACGACTCACCTTCTTCTCGACGATAGGTTAGTTCAAAGGATACGAAAACCGTCTCCTTCTGGGCGATAGGTTGTAGATGACTCGAATTTTTCTTACCTTCTCACGTTTTTTAGACAGCTCGGACGTGTGATGTCTTTGCCAAATTCGAGTTTATGACGAACTGTTCGGTAAAACGACCTTTTTGACACAAGGATTTTGTGATAAAACTCTAAGAATTATAACACAAGCGATTTTTGCTCAAGAGGGACGATATTCTTATTTTTTCATTCATGAAAAATAATGATGTATACATAAGTTTATTTATAAGAGAGAGATACTAGCCTATGGGAAATAAAATACAAATCCTATGAGGAATCAAATTCTAACTTGATAAAACAGGCTGTGGCAAGGGAATCAAATTAACCGGGTTGCATTGGTTTGAATGGTGTAGTGTGTCATTTAAATGTCTCATTAATGGTGGGATGTGGATGCCCTATGGTAGAAAATTATTATACTATAACACTGGTAGTAAGTGTTAGGATATACTGTAAAAACTTGGCTTTCAGGTTTTGACAATTCCATTTTGATCTGACAATAATGTTTTAGTCAAAGTATTGTTGCAAGTTTATTTAATTATGCAATCATAATTCATTTATCTTACATTGTAGAAAGTATGGTTCGATGTGTCGAACAGAAAGATCATATTGTCTGTTCCTTGTATGATGAACTAATTGTTCACACTCTATACAGGCATTGAAAACCCTATTGGAAAAAGAATGCAGTGTAGTCTTGATTCAGTTGGTCTTTGATTGATGGATTACACTAGTACTTATGATAAGTATTGAACATGACCGCAAAAAGGATAAGATTATTTAAATATTGATCGTTGAAGTAATCTAGGCCTTCAGTAATTGATGCATACTCTTAAGCCGTAAAATAATATAAAATGACATATATGTTCATTACTTGTTTATTTGATTTACCAAGAGTGATTCTCATTTTACTGGGATGACATAATCGGTATTTTGGTAAATGATAATGTTTATATGATGTGTTGTTATAAATTATTTACGGTCCCTATGTCCTAGTGCGTTGGGTTGATGACATTCCTGAAATGAGCTCAGGAAAGAATATTATGTCGAGCCCTGCAGACGATAAATTAAATTTAAATTTATATCTTAAACATAGGGATGGTAAATCGATAAATTAAATTAATATTTATTAATTAAGTGGAGGTTCAAATTTATTGAATAAATTGGAGCTATATGGGGTGAACAATAATATATATTACTCTAGTGGAATATTTTATTATTAATTTAGTTAGGAGATAAGAATTATTTATTCTCTAATTAATTAATTCCCTAAGAAGATGAATTTTTCTTCTAGAATATTATGAAAGGTTATGAGACTAAAGAAGTCTCATAGAAGGGGTAATTAGGGTCAGGAGGAATGATGTCTTTTAGAAGGGAAAGATAATGGGAGAGTAAATAGGATTACTAACCTTAGTTGAATAAGCCCATATTTAGCACCTTCTTAAGGTCCCTAATGTAGCCTATAAATACAACATGTCCCAACCTCTCCCCATAATATGTGTTAGCCGATTTTAAGGTCTTGAAAAGAGAAAAAAATCGAGCATTACATATATATTGAGAGTTCGAGAGTTTCGATTAATCGCACACCAAGATTATTCAAAGTAGGTGTTCAGGTAATACATTAAAAGGCTTTTAGGTAATATTTATTCGAGCCTATCATATATAATTTGGCGACCAGAACCACCGTCTTCAGCCATCGGAGATCGCCCATCGCCGCCGAAAAACGCAAGCAGCTGCGCCCAGCCGCATGCAGTGACGCGACCTCCCAGCACCACTACATGCAACCCAGACACAGTTCTAGGCCCCCGTTTATTTATGAATTATTTGGGGTTATTTAGTATTATTATTGTTTTTATTATTATTATTATTATTTTGTTATTAAATGCTTAATTGTCATTAAATATTTAAATGCCTATTATTATTATTATTAATAATAATAATTAATGTGTGTATTAATTATATAATATCCGGATTTTATTTTGAACGATCGAACCGAGCCGTTAAATTTTATTTATTGCAGAATTGGGATTGTATTTCGGTTTGGTCAAGCCTGAGAAACCGAGAAACCAAGCCGCGCGTATAGAACCCGCGAGCCCGTCTAGCAAACAGAACCAACCCAGCTATTGCCGAACCGAACCAGCCCATCTATTGTATTTCTTTTTTTTTTTTTGTCANCTCGCTAAGAAACACACCGCAACCCTTTTTTCTATCCCTCTCTCTCTCTCTCGATCACGGCGGCAAGAACAGAGAAGCGAGAAAGAAATCTCTCGCTTTATTGTTCCGATCACCACCCTCACGTTCATCCCGACGCCACCCTCATCTCCCTTCCGTCGTCATCCTCGCGATCGACTCCACTGCACGTCCGCAACGCCCCAGCAGCGACGCCGCATCTCGTCATCACCTCCGACGAACTCCAGCAAACCGACGATGAGCCCTCTTTCAACCCCCTCGCATCACCGTCGAGGCCCTCCGTTCGCTGTTCCTCGCCAAGCCCTAGCCGCGAGCAGTCAGCCCCGCCACTTGCTCCCCGCGAGAAGAAGCTCCGCCGTCGAGCCGATTGCCACTCGCCTCTTCATCCCATTTTTGAACATTTTTCCGAGAACGGTATTCTTTCGAGCCCGGGCTGAATTCATATTGTTGCTCAATATTATCAAATTAACATACATAATAATTCAAGTGGAAATCGTAAGATGTTATTTTTCTATCGTGTTTAATAAGATCGAGTTGGACCTCGGACAACGTGTTTTACGATACATCGAATGTTTTAAGTCTTAAAGTATTAATATCGAGACTTGCTTAACGTGTAATTTACGTGGTTCCGAGGCTATGTTGTTATGCGAATGTTTTGAGTTGTTAAAACCACGAAAAACCTAAATTTTGAGCCTCAGTTGTGCTCTGTTTTTGTCGACCAAGAAGCTGTTTCTTGGACAAGTATTCTTCCTGAGTTTTGTTGTTCTTTGAGTTAGGTTTCAAAGAGTTTTAAAATTTTGTGATTTGGGTTTGAAATGAATTTCCAAAGTCAGACAAGCATGCAGTTTTTATAGACTCGGACAGAAACTTTGACCTCAGTTCACGGCTGTTTTTGATAATTTTAACGTACCTGAATGAAAATGTATTCTTCATGAAACATGTATTACATGTTATAAGCTTTCATTAGGAGTTGAAATCATGCAATTTGGAGTTTTGGTTGGATTTATATGATTTTTCTAATTTGGATTTATGCTCAGAATTTTGAAACAGTGGTTGTATGTATGCATGGAATGTATGCTCTGAATTGATGCCTTTAATGTGATTATATGTAAAACTGCTCTTCATAATGTTTGTAGATTTCCTTGTGTAGATTCTGTATGTTTTGAGTATGTATGAATTGGAGTTGTGTAGCGTGGTTGTTGTCATTTTACTAAGGTGCTGTATATTCGAAAAATTGTTCTCTGGACTGTTTTGTGAACCGAATGTTTTATATTAAACCTCATTGTGATGTCGTTATTTGCCAGTGAGGTCTTCAGAACGGTTTAGGAAATTTAATTACCTACCTTGGAGTTTTTGAATTTCAGTAATATCATGTCTGTAAATTTGGTTATTATGCATACACTAAGGACCTGTCAAGCTGTATGTCTTCAATTATCCACTGCACCTATGTTTTGGATGTTTACTGTATTATGTGCATTTAAATGACTTTATCTGTAGCGCCTCATTTGTTCCAGATTATTTTGAAAGTTATTATTTATTTATTTATTTTATTTATTTTTATTTGTCCAAATAAATTTATTTATTTTATGTGTGATCGTAATTGCCTTAATTGTTTGTTATTATAGAT